TGTGTCATCTCACGGCCAACCGCTGTACCAAGAGGAGTCTTGACCTCCCTCCCTGTTGATTCAGGATGTGAAAACAAGCCAAGACAGTCGGGACCAGCCTTGCGGACGATGTGTGGCTCCTGGGGCCTGCTGGGCTGCTGTGGCAGGCTGTTTGGCTGCTCCGGTGTGGGGAGACGGTTTGCTGTTGCTGCGTGCAATGGCTGCAGAAGCTGGAGAAGGGGAGTTGGTGAGGAGAGAGGGCTGGGGGCACAGGAGAGAGGGTCAGGAAGGGCAGGAGGAGAGGTGGGAGAGCCTGAGCTTGCTCAAGTAAGAGGCTGAAGGGAGAGACTCCTGGAGGGGAGGGAATGAAGGAAAACCGAGACCTGGAAGGGCAAAGGTAGGTAAATCAGTGAAGTGGGGGTAAAGAAGGAGAAAAAAGGAGGAGGGTGGGGCATAAAACCTGCCTCCTCTGTTACAGTCTGTGGGCAGTGGAGACCACGGAGGGCAATGGCCCAAGCAGTTCCCACAACAGCCGAGCCTGCTCATTACTCATAGTGGTTGCACTATCTATCCCAAATAGTACTGATGTTACTGGCTGCTGCTCTGGCTCTCGCTGAGGGGAAGCTAATGGTGGGACTAATGAAACAATGGGGAGCCCCTTCAGTAAACGGGAGCTCTCACAGCCACCTCTGGGTACTGGAGCATGGCCCTTGTCCTGCTGGCTGGTGAGCGCTGGCCCCGGCCTCAGGGCAAAGCTCTCCCTCGGCCATGCAGGGCAGGCAGTGCTCTGCGCCGCGGCTCCATAGAGACAGAGGTTTCATGGTTAGATGTTTGGGTGCATGTATCTACATATGTAGTTAGATGCAATTAAAAACATTTTAAGACAAAAGGCAAAGCTCAAATTTGGCACTGGGTAATAAAGCAAAAGTTGGCCCACAGATGCTGTTTGTTAAATTTGGTTGTGATCCTTAGCTTAGGCTTGAGTGCCAAGAAGGCTTCAAGGACCTGACTGACAGTTGTAGCTTTGTTGGTGGCTTTCTGTAACAGAAGGAAGACATTAATGTTTAAGTCCACAATATGCCAATAAATAAACACACTGCCTGGATACCTGTGCCAACAGCAGTAAATAAGAGACGTGGACTAGAACAAAATGTGAGGCACACCGTGGAGCAGGGGCAGATCTCCCTGTAAACAGCCTTGTAAAGCAGCCAGGTCCCAAGCAGACGTCGGCATCTGTAAATGCCCTGACAGCAAACACAGACTTAGGACTTCAGACCCCCATCCTGCCCCTTCTGTGTCCCAGTTTACGTGGATTTGGCTCTTGGAGGTGCTGGCTTAGCTGTGCTGGGACACTGAGGGGCCTTGCTCAGCCTCAGATGGGCCAGCAGAACCACGCTGGATTTCTCTAGCCATCATCCCCTCCATCCGCCTCTTTCCTCTTCCGCCCCAAGGCTTCATACTCTTCTAAGGCTGTAGATTGTCAGTGCCAAGCCCTGTGAAAGCCAAGGATACTTTGCCCCTGTGAAGCATCTGCTGTGAGGCTGGCCACAGACTGAGCCTGTTCTGGCCTCATCAGTGTGAGACGTGTGAAACCTCTGTCCGGCTTACTGCTGAGGGGATGATACCAGTGTCATGTTTTTCTTACAATTAGTGCTTTTTCTTAACTGAGGTTGCTACGAGGTAGGAGATGGCTCTGCACATGTGCTGTATGAGCAGAAGTTGTGTTTGATTTTGTGTCATTCCCTCTAACTCTGTCCCTTTACCAGTTACTGCATCCTTAACTCTCAAACATAGTTATGGTTTTCAGATGATTATTGTTGCCAACTGTCAGAATTTGTATGTCCAGGCCCACGCGTGCTGCCACCGAGACGGCCGTGTAGAAGAGGCGATTTTGCTCACATGCATTTTGAGCCTCTGTTCCACAGGAGAGAGGAATTGTTTTTCCTTAGGGCAAAACCAACGTGCTACAATCATGAAGCACTAGATTGTGTTTCAAAGAAACAAGTGTAACTACCCACTGGCACTGGCATGCATGCAGATAGCAGTGTAGCATTTATTATAGTTAGAGATAAATGGCCTTAAATCATGTATGTGCTGTGTCAAAATAAAAAACAACCACCACCATACACAACAAAACCAACACTTCTCCAGCGGCTGATCAAAAGTAATAAGCATCACCCATAACAACAACGCTGGGTGAAACTCGCTCTCCTCTGGGTATCTTTCATGTCTGGCAATGTGTGCATTGCAACTTTATACAGCTTCCAAAAATAATTTGTTTAAAAGGTTCCTGGTTTATATTTGTTTCCTCATCTGTCATCTCAATAGATAAAATGAAACTTTATTAAAAGCCAGGCCTTGACTAACAGACATAATGAGTGGATTTTGTCACTTTATTAAAACTCTGTGCGTGCTGGAATTAATTATGTGCCTTTTGAAAAATATAAAGAACTCACTATTGTAGGACAATAGCAACTTGATGGAGCACAGCACTAATATGGTGTGTGTCATCAGTCTGTTTTTCTCCACAGCTGCTGAGCTGCAGCTAGCTGTCCTGGTGCTGGTTTTTTCATGCTGCGGGGCCAAAAGCGGCATTCATTCGTGGTTATTTGCTAGCACTGCAAGCGTGGAACTCTTTGTTCTGCAAGGATGTCTACTCCAACATGGCTCTTCTAAGAGTAAGCTAATGCTGCTGATCATTCGTGGGCCTCACCACCGTGAGGTATTTTGCACCCTCCGTGCACACTAGCCATGATCACTGCATTCACACCAGGTTTGTAGCACTAAACAGCACCTGGTGTGCATGAACCAAAGGACCGTGAAAGTGAACTTGTGGGTTCACCTGGTGAATCTATCGGGTCCCACCTGAACACCTGAGCACCCAAATGCCACCATAAAATGCAATGCTGCCCCTCAGCACCATGCCTCACTTTGCCCCCACACACTGCTCACTTTGCTGGTTTGTATTTAGCCGGCTGCAAAGCCGTATCCCTGATGCCAAACTTTAATAAGCCTTAATGCAAGAAATGCCTGTATCAGGATTAAAAAAATAATAAAATTAAGATCTCTCATGAGTCACAGCAACCCAGTGCTGGTATTGCTTTGCCAGGAGTCTGAGTCAGCCCAGGCACCACCGACCAGCCCTTGGCCCTCCTTGCCTGGCACAAGGAGCGATTGTGCTCGCGGTGGTTGTGGGCTGTGAACGATGGGCAGAGCCCTGGCGCACGTGGCTGCGTTCAGTTTGCTTGTAGTTCAGTACAGCTGGGGGTTTGGAGACCCAGATGCAGCCTGCAGGGTACGGGCGCCCAGTTTAGCTGCCTCCATCTCTTGCAGCGCTCACCAGTGAGCTGTGTGTGTAACACACCTGCTGCTCCAAGCTGTGTACCCTGGCCCAGTGACCCTGCTGCGCTGCTCAGGGCTGTCTGGCCTGGCTATGGCTGCAAAGGAGCAATACCAGGCCAGGGGCATGGGACCCTGGCTGGAGCACCGGCACGCATGGCTTCACATCAGCACGGCGAAACACCGCCTCCCCCCCCGCCCAATGATCAGAGGCGAGCATTCAGCAACAAAGCTTCTAATTTTTATTAAAATAAAGTGTAACCTTTTATTTTCCCTTGCTCCATTCCTATAAGGAATGGCTTAATACGGGAGTTTGCTAATGTAGGATTGGTGTTACAACATATGCTGAAGCAAAAAAAAAAACCAAGCTGGAGAAATCCCACCTTCAATACATCAGCTTTTGTTCCCTTCCTGGCAGGAGGAGAATATGGAGGGCGACACTGCACAGCTTTAATACAAATGGGGGTGTAGGTACGGTACAAGAGGCAGTTGTGCTCCATCTCCCTCCATCCCCTAATCATGTCCCACCTGCAGGAGCACTGAAAGGCCCACAGAGCGCCCTGACTTGGAGCAGCCACACAGCTCCTCCAGGGAGGGGGCTGGCATCAGTAAACAAACATGCAGATGTCACCATATGATTCATTTTCCTTTTAAATTGACTTAGATCTTTTGAAAATTAGGAAGAAGAACCAGAACAATAGTCCTAATTTTTAGATGGCAAGATTGTCTTTTTCTTAGTAGGAAAAAAAAAAAAGACTACTCCTAATGCACAGCTGCTACACTGCAGCTCAGGCCAGAGCCCACTAAACGCGTCTCATTGACTTCACCGGGTTTGGACTGCTCCTGTTTGCACGTGACTGCAGTCGGTGCAGCCACCACTGCTGAGGAAGCGTATGCAGAGCTAGGGAGTCGCTGCTGGTTTAACATCACGCTCCCCTTCTTGGGCTGCGTGTAGTTCAGGTTTAGTCGTCTGTTAAATACATTTTTTGATACATGAGAGATGGAAACAGTTAACAGAAAGTGGAGAAATGGTGTGATTTGTAAAGATATTTGTTATATTCAACTGTTAGCAAGGGAAAAAAAAAGAGTTAACATTCAGTAGCATAGTCAGGAAGATTGTCTATGTATATTTCTGTCATGGGGCTAAGATACAAAGCTTAGGGTGGTAAATACGCATATTTACTAAATAATGCATACCACGCTAGCGCACAAGTCGGAGCTGGCAGCTGGCAGCCCGGGCGGTGCTGCCTGATCTGTAAACCAGACAAAACCAAGCCCCTGGGAAAGCTGAAGGGATGTTTCTGCCCTTCTCTTCCCCGCACACCTTGGCTTGTCTGAGGTTTGTGTTCCTCAGCGGAGCTGCTGAAACAAACCCCCTGTGCGTGGGGTGCGGCAGCACGGGGAGCCCCTTGTTCAGCCCCTCGCACATGGAGTCACCGAGCAGAGAGGAGGCAGCACGCTGGCCGCTCCGCCGAATGGCACCCCAACAAAGGCTGTGCTTCACGCTACGTTCTCCTGGCTGGCTACGTTCAACGGCTGCTCCTTGGGGGCTGCCAAAAATACTTGTTCAATGGAAAAGAAAAGCCCTAAGAAAAGCGATGGAGCAGAGCTGTACTTGGTAGAGTTTCTAGGGGCACTTTTCAGAGGGCCCTTAAGATCAAAAGTTGGTCTTTAGAGACAACCTTGTTTGTGTCTGCCCCTCACTTACGCAGTTCAGGAGGTTCTTCTTGCAGAACTGACCCCCCTTGTCCACTGCTTCTTGTGCTGCGAACATATGTCTCCAGCTGTTCAGAATCAACAACTTCTCTTGGCTTCCTGGTCCACTGCGGGCTGAGCCTCCTGCCCAGCAGCATCTGGTGGGACTGTGACACCGAGCCCCTGTGTACTGTCACCACCTGGGAGTTTGGTGCTCTCTTCTAGCTGGCGCATCTGCCTGCTCGCTGCTCGTTGCTGCTGCTCCTTCAGCTCGCTGTAGGATCGGGAAAAGGTATGAAAGATGGACGTGACTGGGAAAGCCATCAGCAAAATCCCACTCAAGATACTGCTCAGGGCTACCACCTGTCCGGGGATGCTACGAGGCACCATGTCCCCGTAGCCAACAGTTGTCATGGAGATCACAGCCCACCAGTAACTGGTGGGGACACTTGTGAATTCTTGCTTGGCTCCCAGTTCGCTCTCAGCCAAGTACACCAGCGGCGAGAAGAGGGCCATGGCGACGCAAAGGAAGAGCAGGAGGAGCCCGAACTCCCTGGTGCACCGGCGCACGGTGAGCCCCAGCGTCTGCAGCCCCAGCGAGTGCCGTGCCAACCTCATCACGTACAGGATGCGCAGAGCCCGCAGGAAGCGCAGCACCAGGCCCACTCGTTCCAGGTACTTGTTCCCAGCTCCCCCACCGGGCTTGCTGCTGTTTTTCGTGGAGACCATGCCCACAATGAGAGAGATATAGAAAGGCAAGATGGCCAGGATGTCGATGATGTTGAGCGGGGTTTTCAGGAAAGCACACTTGTTCTCTGCCTGGATGGATCGCAGCAGGAACTCAAACGAAAACCATGCCACGCACACCGTCTCCAGCACAAAGATGTCATAGCACTTCCGTGAGCATTCACCCTGGGGAGAAGAGGAGCAGGAAACACAGAAAGGGGGAAGAAAAAGATTTAGCCAGGGAGTGAACCAAAGAAACAGAGAGTGGCAGTTCTTAAAGGAAAGCACCACGTGAAATTGATATGAATTGCAAGGTACGAAAGTAAACTCATCATTGCAGCTGGAACAGATAACTAAAATCAGAGCTACTAGCTACCTGTTTGGCCACAGGACAGGTCAACGATGCTCAGGAGTATCCGGAGGCTGCCAAGCATTTGGTGTGATGGTACCAGCTGTTGGCCAGACAGACCACTGCTGAAAGGCAAGGCTCACACCTCATTTCTAACCAAGCCCTTAAACACCCTTTAGAAAAGATTAGTACAGGATTCACGGATTTTAATAAATGGGTGATCCATCCCTCCCTTCCTGACCAATAATAAATTGCTTATAAATGGCTCCTAAACACCTACAGCATTTTATGTTACGTGCTTGGAGGCATCTATAATCTATTATTCACAGAATATAGAATATGTTTTATATTCCAGTGAACATTTATTAACATACTAGCCCTATAGTCAAAAGCTTATATAAAGTACTGATAAACGTAGGTGTTTCTGAAAGAAAACGTACCACAAGAATAGAGGGAGGGTCCGGAGAGATAAGCATTTTTAATTATGTCATCTGTAACAACTAATGACCACGATGCCCTCCCCAAGCTTTCTGAGGCACTGGAAGAGGTGCTCTTCGCGGCAGGCTCACTTAGTGGAAAATAAAGAGAACTCTGGTTCTTCAGTTACGATGCCTGTAAACAAGACAGTCTTGGTGCATTGGAACAGCAATAAACAATACTGCTGGTGATGGCTGCTCTTTGATTGTTAATTCAACAGCACAAATACTATGGTAATTCTCTGCTACATCACTGTTAGTAACTCCAGCTGAATAATAATCAGCTTCTCTAAATAAACAGATTTTGATGTGGACAATTATAGGGCTAGTGCTGTTTCCTCTGTAAATGCTCATATAAAAGTGTTAATGCTCTGGGGGCTATGAGCGGAAGGCAAGTATGTATTTATTTAAGGGAAGTGTATATTTATTCGGTGAGCCAGTTTGACTCTGAACAGTTCATGAAAACTCTTGTAAGCATGTAGGAGTCCATCCATGTCCGTGGGGAGTGTGACTGCCTCTGGATGCAACAGGTATTAGGTACCAATGTAAAACCTCATTTTGCTCGCCTATGCTAAACTATAGCAATAAAATATCACTCAAGAGTGGTGAGGCCGTGTCACGCTAGTCTCCATTTCACCACTGGAGAAGCTGAGAACCTGGCACATCTATAAACAGTTCTGCCCACATGCTCACCACAGGTGCCTTTTGCTAGGCAGAGCCGAGGAAATTTTTACTGCACAGCACCACATCCTAATTTCATCCCTCTCCAAGTGTTTATGCACAGTGTTTTCCCTGTTGTGAAAGAAAACAGCAAAGGAGTGATAAGACTTTTTGCCCTCTTCGCTAACTACAGCATTCCCTAAAACGTCGGGGAGTGACTGGATACATATTTCAGGGCTGCTGCACTGCCAGCGGTCATCGCATTCAGTATAAAGCCTTGTGTTACCTCAGTATGATAACCAAAATGCCGAGGCACCCTCCCCATTTCACACTTAAGAAGGAATTGAGACAATGACTAAAGAGATGTCAATAGGAAAAAAAATGTGAAAAGGAATCCTCAGAGCCAGCATTTATGGTTCTTGTATTAAACGTGATGAAGGGTTGCAGTGCCTTGTATTTATAGATTTTTTTTATATTCCACTTTCAATTGGCATATGATGTACCACCCACTGTTTCCCAAGGGGTCATGCTGATATGGAGAGAAAAATTACTTGTCCCACTGAAATTGCTGTCAAGATTTTAAGCATATTGCAGGGAGGTAGGATAATCTTTTTTTAATAGTGTAGTAGCTCAGATATAGCTTGTCTTTAACCTCCTAATTTTGATAGGTGTGAAGACTAGAAGGAGCTTAATTTATATCTGCCTCACTGAGCTAATTTGGTCATAAGTAAGTATTTTTGTCACAATCATAACACATAGGACAAAACATTTTGGTTTTTAGGGGCTTTGCTCCTATCACAGCATAATTAAGCTGTCAGGTTTTCCCATCAGATACAGAACCAAGATGCTTTCACACCACCGCACAAATCTGGCTCGTGGGCCAGAGCCAAAGTTCACAAAGTCAGTGGAAGGACTCTGCCTGTGCCACTGTAACTTCTCACCTTTTTACCAAGAAACCAGCCGTCAGACAGATACTGTCCCAGAGCCCTGCTGCCTGGGCATCTCTCACACTTAAGGGCAACGGCTGCAGGTGATTTGCAGCTCCTGATATTACACTTGCACATGCACAAAAGGATCAGGCTGAGATGTTAGGAAGACAACCCATAGAAGAATAGCTATGGCTTGAGCAAAGAAGCAGTAACGGCAAGAAAGAAAAAACCCCAATGTGCAAATTTGCTTTCTCTGAAAGGCACATCACTACTTGGACCACCATGTACAGAAACTAAGATGTAGCTTGCCTTAAGAGACCTATCTGGCAGGAAGCGTTCTGGATTCTGATGTGCATGTATATAATTTTCATGCCACGAAAAGTTTAAGGAAAGTCAGTGAAGCCTACGGAGAATTTAGCCTTGGAATAGACCTACAAAGACATTAAGGCGTGTAATAGCTGATTTGGCACTGAATTCCCCCAGCGCTCTCTATTTGGAGAGGAAAGGAAAGGAAACTCTCCAAAGTCCTTCTGTGTATGAGTTTTGGTGTGGGAGCAAACAGGAGTGAAAATTGTTCCTCATTAACGGACTACCACTGGAGATGACTTTCGGAAGACTCTGTCTGCCCTCCCACACTCTGACGTGCTTATCCTGTGTAGATTCACAAACCTACAGCTTTGCTATTTATGTCTCCCATCTTCCTGCAGAACTATATAAAAAATGGAAGGGCAGGAGCAGCCTGGCAACCTTCGCTCAGCTGAGCACGAGAGGCTTGGCAGTATCTGAAGCTCGGGTCATCCAACACAGAAGAACCAAGCTGGCATCTTTGCCCATCACTGTAATGAAGAGCTGAAACGTACTCCATCCAGAGCTGATGGTGGGCTCTGGCTTTTCTCCACTCTTCCCACTGTCCACAGCTGACAGCTAACGTTGTGAATGCCGAAATGTTTACCTTCAGTAGAGTGGAGTGATAATGCTCTGCTACATAGAGTTCCTTTTAATGGGATGAAACAACCCCCTCTTTTAGCTAATGCATAATTATCTCCAGCAAAGTGCTAGTCTTTCGCAGTATCGTTATTAACCTATTGCAATCTGAACAAGCCAGGCTCTGTCCGAAGGCTGTCCTGAGGGTAAGAGGGTCTAAACAGGCTTTTAGAAAACAGACCTGTGTGTCAATTAACCTGCCAGAGGCCTTTTTTCCACTAATTAAATGTCTTCCTGTCCCCTGGACCATGTTTCAATATCATCTAGGTATGACCTATTGTTACCTTCACATGAAATCAAAAACAGTAACAGCAAAAACGTGTTTCAGGCTCTTTGCGCTTCGCTTCCTTCAGCTGCAGCTACTTTTTCTTGCAGTTTTTTCCCCTTGATTACAGCATTGTAAAAAAAAAAAAAGGCAATTTTTCTCTTTCTAAAACTTTTAACTATGTATTCGAGTCCAACCGGCTGCTGTAACTCTGCTTAGGGTTTTGAGGTTTTTTTCCATTCAAGAAAATAAACCAAAAATGCACAGAAAGACACACACACAGATGGAAAAAAGCAATCAAGAATTAATCAGCCGTTGGAATAAGAGAAAAACAAGTCTTAACAGAATAAGATAGCATCCTGCCCAAAATAGGTCTGTATCAAATCTCTATGTTCTCAAAAAAGATTACGCTATACCAACTCATGGCCATAAACATGTACATTAACAACTACGTACTGCTTTTTACTTTTTGTAAGCAAAAAGATTTCATCATCTTGTAATCTAATGGATACATTTTTATGATTACATTTTCATATCTAGCTTTATGAAACTGGGCCACTGGAAAACTTTTTTTTTAGTTTTCACAACAATTTGATTTCTTTTTGTCTTTTAGAGGTCTAAACAAAAATAGCATGAATGGCAATCACAAAGGACAACCCCATTGCACTTCTCTAGTATTAAAAGATTAACATTCTTTTTTTTTTAATGTGCACATAACCATGCCATTAAATAAATAATATCTTAGGCTTTTGCTTACAAAAAGCAGTGGTATAATAAAAATATATGGAAACAGTTGTTCTTTACAAGATGTGTATGTTTATTTAAGTGTGCATATGGGTTTCTTTCAAACAGCAAGTAGATTTTTTTTTCCTGTGCAAAAATGGGGAAATATCTGCAGTTGCACAGGATTTTGGGGCCATATACTGATGTCAACTCAGGGCACAGGAAAAGAAACCAAGGAAGGTCTCAGTGAGTAATTCTATGCAGTCAAATTAAAGTGAGTCTCCTTCACTAGGATTTATAGAAATTTGCTGTCAAAATGCCAACCGCAGTTTCTTTCTTTAGGAGAAACATTTTCTTTGCCAAAGGTTTCTTTGGCAAAAGGCAAATTACAAAAAAGAAATGCCGGTGTCACTGGAGTTCAAATCCAGCTGTACTCATTGCTCTGTATGGTCTGTCTAAAAATTGCAGAAACGTTTTGGTTTGGCTTGCAGGGTCCCTTTCACTGGTACTTCCCTGTCCTGTGCCTCAGAAAAATTCTCCACTGTGTGTTGTGTGACTTCTTGTCCCTGCCTTTGTCCTCCGGTCTCCTGAGAAGAAATTCTGACCCTCCTCTAGATTCTTGCAGGCTTTGACGCCATCTCCCCCCTCTGGCATTAGAAGATGTCAAAAGCCAGATCACCTCTAACCGCCCCAGTTCTTTTGTTGCTTTGCACATGTATTTTTGTATGGTCAGCAGCTCCACAGTACTTTCAAGGAAGAAGTTTCAATGCTGCCCACTTCGCCCCTGTAGTGAAGATTTC